AAATATTATCTATATGAAGATAGGTTATCTATATGAAGATAGAGATGGCTTATTAATGTAAAATATTACAAATAAATGTGAAATAATGGTAAGAAATGGATATATAAATGGATATACAAATATAATAAGAAACGAAGATAAATAAAAAACGTGCATAAATTAAGCGGCATGCATAAAAAATCTACACAACGTACATTATGTTCTCTACTTTACGGAATTTCACCACACCATTTATGACTCGATGTGTATATATAACATATAATGGACAATCACTTAGTTAACAACTTAGTCACACAATTAATCTACAATTAGTAACATATTTGTCATTTTTTAATTTTAAAATGGAAGATAAGTTATATGATTTGTCATGATTTGCAGATTTCAGAGAGAAGTTTGAAATGAATTAAATTAGATTCTTCTTCTTTTCTGATGATTTGTCCTGCATTTCTTTGCTTTTGACAATGCAATAGCATTTAATGTCATGGTGTTATAAATATCGTTCGCGCGTCCTAAATTACATCACGCGATCACCGATCTTTTTTTAGCATAATATTTTCGGTTAAGCATAAAATTTCGTTTCATATACGTTGTGCCCACATTTCTTTCTCTATCTACTTTAATTTTTACCGGCTCTTGCTGAGTCATTTGTCGATTCTCAGACTGATCATTGGAACCTGTTCCAACTTGTGACTCGCCATTCGTTTCTGACTCCGTCTGTTCCGAGATACCTTCGTTCTTCGTTCGCAGCATGAAAACATCTTTACCTACAGATCTATTCTACGAGACCTACTCACCCGCCGTTAAGACTTTGTGGCGTATTGAGAAATCTTATTAACTTTTACATTATTTTCATAATTATGCAGCAAGCCAAATAAATATTTAATCGCGTATTAATCGTCTAATGTGCTGTGAGCAATCGGGCATTCAGCTTTATTAAAACGCGCTGTAACGTCATAAATTTATGCCAGATAATTAGCATAAAATGAACTTTTCAGTTAAATATTTAAATCATTTTTCGCAACGTCATAATGCGCTTTTCTCAATGACATGTCTAATAATACTTTTACCTATTTATGAGAGCTGAATGCCCTTTTCCGCGATGTTGTGTTATATATCTTCCTCAATATGATAAATGATTCATGTAATTTCATGCAAGACGAATTCCATGATACTCACTTTTTCTCCGTATTCAGGATCGATAGCCATCATTTCCCTGAGTGTCCTTAAAACTTTCACGCATAATTTTTCTTCTTTTTCTTCTAACAATTTTTCAGTATGCTTGATTAGTCTGTAAAGTAAAAATACGTACATTTATATTGCACATAATGCGATTAACATATTGTAAGTGAAAAATTCTACCTTTTGATAAAGCCACCGTTTTCGCATCTTTTTCTGGCATCAGTTGCTGCAGGAAATAGCAATTCAGGTCGATAGAGGATATCCACTAACAAAGATAATTCGGACTGTACTAAAGGTTTCAATTGTTCTTCCAAGAGACACACTATGTCCTGTAGACCCTCTATAATACTTCGATCGAGACGCATAAGCTAGATTAAAAACAAACAGTATAAATAAATAGAAAATTTTCTTAATTCATCAAGTTGTCTTGTATATACAAGAGTTTTTTCGTAATAATCTACACTACCATAAACTAATTTATATTTCAAAAATTTAAACGCGTTTTATAATACAAACATTTAATATTCTTGTACAACGTATTTAATATTTGATACTTAATTACATATTAAAATGTTTACTTTCTTATTAACGCATATAGTAAAATTACAAATATTATAAATTAATAAATTAATTTATAAATTTTATCCTATTGAATTAAATCTAGTTCTATTTTTTTTTATGTAAACTTATCTATGTGTGTATGCATATATATATATATATATATATATATATATAAAACTATAGCTAATTAAGATCTCCAGTGAGACATACGAGGCTTATGTGACCTACATAAAACAGTATGCTAATATTAGCAAATGCACTACGTAGCTAAACTAAGTGCTATACTTCCGTGAGTGACCTTTACCTCATTGTTAGAGCCTTCCACACAAAGTAGGTCACTCTATGCATTTAAGTAAATTTATTACACAGTTGCTCACTTGCACAGTGGCATGTATAATCATCCTAAGCTATTTCGTAAGAATATCAATTGTAAATTACCTGACTCTGGCTACGTTCAATCTTTGGTTGTTTAGCAGCCTGCAACCATTTGCTAGTTTGTCTGCTGAGCATAGCTGCTTTGTTGAACATATTAGCAACTTGACTTTCCAGATCAGTAGGTATAGCAATACCCCTTCCTTTAGCTAAAATTACAATTTGATATTATTCAATTTTAAATAAAGCTAAATATTACTTCCAGATTAGTGTTCTCAATTTTCTTTTACAAGGTACCTACCTACATCTGATAATGTTCTTATACAATTCTCGACGTTAAATCTTTGTCCAGCATTTAGCCATGCACATTGTGATACATTAAAAGCTGCATGAAGCAACTGGACAAATATAGGTTGCCTTGTCTGTTCCATGGAAAAAAATAACACAGAAATAAATTAAACTTATCCCTATTATAATAATACAATAAATAAATTATGTAATTAAGCCGTTTGAAAAATATTCTAAATATTTCTAAATATATCTTAAATTACATTTAAATTCTAAAGAGAAATGTGATTTAATATTAAAAAATATTATATCAATTAATATTTTTTAGCAGATATATTTTTCAAAATTGATATCACGATATCATAATCTCATCATTATTTATATATTATACATATTTAATAATATCGTAAATTTAAATTATATTTATCTCTATATTCTTTTTTTATTCTTTATTTACATATCACGTATAATTTTTAATTTATATTTTTATATTGAGATGTCATCTTGCATAAAGTGTAACACACTCATTGCCAAGCAATCTGAATTCTGAAGAGAAATTATTATTATAAATTATTATATACATGCTATATGAATTGTGCAAACTGTACACGTTAGAATTTGAGAAACACATAGAGATAGAATCAGAAAAAATATTTCGAGAATAATAAAAGGATAATAATCATATTTAGTACCAGCAGATGTGGTTTATAAGAATGGGTGCATTCAACAATGACAATGAATGTGTTAATTATGCAGAGACATGTGATACAGGCGTACGTAAAGAAAAGAATGCAGTTTATATTTACAACACATCAGTCACTCTATGGTGATAAAGCATTTCTAGTATAGCCAATCATGATATGTACAATTTACAAATATAAGTTAGAATTTTTTATACCCCTTAAAAATAAGAATAAATTTGTCACAAACAATCACGTAAAAAATTTTCTTTATAAAAAAATTTGTTGTAACTATTACATCTTTATGACATTATATTGTAAACATATAAAAGATTATACCGTATTATATTATAATTACCCAACATTAAAAAAAAGATTCTAGCATTCAATACTCACATAGCCAGAAAGATTATTATCTGTATTCCGATTGCACTCCTTGATGTTCCAATACAGTCTAGCCTCGTGCAGATGTTTCTATTAGTAAACCAAATAGATGGACCACCACCATATAGATGGACAGAACCCATAGACCCAATAAACCAATATTGTTGATTCAAAGAAGGCCAGGTGTTGCATGCCAAAAACACAGAACATGCCACTGATGCTTTCAGCAATGACCAAGCACATATCATACAATATTTGATATAATTATATTAATATAATTGACATCATTTGATCTACTGCTTCACTTAATAAAAATCGTAACATAATAGTTATAATAATAATTATTTAAATAAATCTTAATGTATATAGTGCAAGACATGTTTATACCAACTAATAAAAATATAATTTACTAAAAATTTAAGAAACATGTTTTTCTCTCTGTATATGTATGTATGTGTGACATGTACTTGGTTAAAAAGAGAATTTATGTGTTTGCATGCAAAGCGATAGATTGTTAAATGAAGTATATGTTCATGTATTTTACATATACTTTGTAATTAGAATGTATGTTTGCTGTCTTATAGCTGTCTTGTGCCACTTTGTTTAATTATTACCTTTAAGCAAAAAGTACAAAAGTTATGATGATTATATAAATATTATTTATAATTTAGAAGTAGATACTTCTTATCTATATACTTCTCATCTATATGTTTAAAATAAAATATTTTATTTTATAAATTCTATTAAATATTATATTTTATTGAGTTAATCCTTACATTATTATATATCAATTTAAAATGTAAATTTTAAGATTTTAAAGTTTGTCTTTTTCTTTCACTCTAATAAAGTTCAATTTTGTAATGAAACATAACATTATACATTAACAAATGTTAATTAAGCTTCAAATAAATAAAAAAAATTAATAAATATATCTTAATAAATATATCTTAATAAATATATCTATATATCTTGATCAAAATTTAAAGTTAGCAAACATCTTTTAGACAAATATTTCTTTTCTGTGTGAAAAGAATTATAATTTGAATAGATTTAGATGGACCTATTTTTATAAAAGAAATTATTTGTGCAACGAAATTTCCATCAAAAATAAGGTGCCAAAACAACATCACATAGATGTTATCAATATTCTGAATATTTAAAAAGCGTGAATACCAAATTTCGCCCGATGTGAATAACTTTATAACTTGGTGTTAAATAATATTTTAAATTAAACATTGTCTTAACAAATTAAATTTATTGAAGGACTAAATATACCAATAAGATATTATAACACATATAGATTAATCAATTAGAAAGAAAAGACAGGTATATGCGCTGGCGTGTATATATATTTATATATACACACACCATATTGTGAAAATAATTGATATTTTTCCCATATAATGTAATAAATGAAGATGTTACCTGTACAGTGGTGCTTTGATCGGAAAACGGACTGCTGAAAAAAGTGGCTATGATGTTCATTAGACAACTCGTCACGTAAGTCTCCAAGGCTATATCCGCATGTTGTCGATCATGAGTGGACGTGGCAATTAAACCCATATCAACAATGAAAGACTTTTCAAACAAAGACCACATATGATTTGACGTATAAATTTCTTTCATTTCAACTTCTGTGTCAATATAACAATGATTGAGGAAATTGATATATGCTTCTTTCACCTATTCATAAATATTAAATATGTGTAATATAATTCATATTTTATATTTAACTAAATATAAATACTCAAAATTGATAGAAAATTTACCTCTGGTATACAATCCGGATGTGATACTATAGCCACAATATCATCTAATGGCAAGAGACTATGACATTTAATTTCAGTATTGACATTCTTTCCCATCGTACAACAAGCTAAAAGTTTCACCAACTCTACATGATACCTAAAACATAATTAATATTTAAATAAATCAATAGAATAGGATACGGTTATATAATTCTCATTTTAGAATATTAAAATAACTTACTGAAGAGGACTGCTCTCATCCATCCGATGTCTTTCAGATCGCATCATTTCCACAAAGTGATTAAACGAAGCTCTATCATTATAAAATATTAAAACATCTTCTCCCGCTTGAACCAACTGCAATAATAATAAAAATTAGTAAGAAAATATGTCATGAAATTTATGTGCATATAATGAAATCTCACCTCTTGCATCACCATCTCTTGACATTTTCTAATAAATTGATTCTCAGCTTTCACTATAGTTTGCAAAAATTTCAGATATTGAACATGTTTTCCGTGCGTTTCTATGCAATGTACGAAATGCTGTATGACTTTCGCACCGACTTCATTGCAAAGAACAGAATTATCTTGAAAAATGCTACATACTGTTTGCGCTTCTCTTATGCCAGGATTTAAAAATAAATCCAACTGCTTGTGTAAAAGAACCTGATTTTGTTGATTAGATAAACAAAAGTTTTGCAGAAAATCATGCGCTAAACGCATTAATTCATTCATTCTAACATCTTCCTTGACATCGTATGGAACTTGCAGTAAATCTAAAACGACGGTATGTACTCCAACATTGCGCAGAAGTCTCTGTTCGTGTTTACGTGCTTTCACTTGACCGCCTGGCAGAATCTGAATACACAGTTTATTCATTCTCATTAATATTTGCTGAATCTTTTTATATTCTTCTGCTTGATCAGGATGTAACGGTGGGCCAATATCCAAATCAATAGCAGACCCTTTAAAATAATAATTATTTATTCATTTTTCATAAAGATAATCTTTGAAATAATTAATAAAATAATACCTTGTTTATCTAATGTAGATAACAAAGGTGTTTTGCGAGGAACTGTGGTTTCATCTTCTTCTTCTTTACTTTTTTCTTCTTATTTCCATGTTCCTCTGTCGCCTTGGATTTATATACCCAAAGCTCAGATTTCTCGACAGACTGGCGCAAAACGTCTAAATCTGCCTTTATTTGTTTATATGATTCTACGTCGCTATCCGAAACTAAAAGCTGCACCTATTTATCATAAAGCATTCGTATTATATTAAGTAATTTTTCCTTTAACTTATACTTTAACATCTGAAAAAAGATCTAACCTGTTTAAATGCCTGTAAAACTTCTTGCCTTTGGCTAAAATGTCTAAATAATAAATGTAAAGCTCCAGAGACTAGTGGGGGATAATCGTGCATAGCTAGGTGTAATAGAACGCGTAAGAATGTTCTACCTCCTTGGCCATCTAAATCCAATGCTGCGCATTCCTCACTAAAACAATAAATAAAAGATATATATTTTTATAAGATGCAGCCTTCGTCACACTTAGAAATATGTTACCTGCTCCCAAATATTCCTTCTGCCTGTGCGCCAATTGATTCTAAATCAATAGCCTTTTGTCCTAGATTTACATCTCCAGTCTTTTCCGCAGCCGTCGATGCAGTTTCATCAAATTCTCGTTTAAATATGCTCAAAAGACAAGAGATTCTATAATCCAATCGAACATCCAGAATAAATTGCAGAATCTCGATGATCTTAAGCTTTGTGTCCATCACTAAGGGATATTCTTTTTTCATTAATGGTTTTGGTCTTGGAGAGGAACTAACTTGACCGGCTGGTCCTAATGTTAAATTCGTCATCACAGCACCCATATCGCCGATGCATCTGAGGATACCTCCTTCAGCTATTTAAATAAATCATAATAATTAAAAATTTATATTAAAATAATAAATGAATAAATAAAAATGATGGCACAAAACACATGTAATATTACATATCTAATTAAATCATTGTATAACTAAATCTTAGTGCATACTAGAAGTTAATTTGTATTAAAATTAATTTGTATTTAAAAAATCATATTTTATATAAACTAATAATTATATAACAATGACACTATTTCATTCGTTAAAAAAAAATTACTTATTTATACCTAAAAATTATTTATTAAAAATAATAAACTAAAACAATAATTATATATATATATATATATATATATATATATATA